GTAAGACTCAAACCACTGGCGTGCGGTTCCTGAGATGCCATTTTCCAATAGGGTTGACAGGAGAATCTGGTGGTTCACCGTATCAAAAGCAGCAGACAGATCCAGCAAAATAAGTATAGAAGATTTGGAAGCCGCTCTTGCCAGTCTTAACAACTGAAAAGCAAGGCAGTCTCGGTCGAATGTCCACATCTGAAGCCAGATTGGTTGCTGTCCAGGAGGTTGTTCTGTGTGATAAAGGCTGAGACTTGGTTGAACACAACTCGTTCAAGTGTTTTGAAACCAGTCTGTAGTTCTCTAAAAGAGTTGGGTTAAGAGTGGGTTTCTTAAGAAGTGGGGTTATACGAGCCTGTTTAAATGCTGAGGGCAAAACACCAGTGTGAAGGGATGTGTTAATGATGTGAGTGAGTGCAGGTACAACGATGTTGTTGTAGGCAGGGTGTACTGTTCATGTGTATGTAGGAGGTGGCACCTGTTTCTCACATATGTGGCATCTCCGGCCTGTACCTGGTAGCTATTTGGCTGTGGTGCTCTTCCTACTACCGTTCCCAATCTATCATACCCCCTGTCCGTCTGTATTCTCACTGTCGGGAGTACGAGTCGACGAGCACCAGGTGTGTCCCCCCCCCCACTCAAAAACGTCAGCTGCTGTAAGAGCCCATGGCAAGTCTGGTATATCATGCAATTGAAGGGGCTCCTTTGTTTGGTGTGGTCTGAGGGCATTACAAGGAGCGCACCTGGAGATTTCATGTTCAATGTCCTGGTATATGCTGGGCCAAAACATGGTTTCTCTGGCCCTGCACTTTGTTGCTTCTAGGCCCTGGTGCCCTTGATGCAACTGTCTGATATAATAGTGTTGCAGTGAGTGGGGAATGACAAAACGCTGACCACGGAGCAGTAGGCCATTATCAACTGTGAGTTCATCCCTTATGGCATAGAATTGCCTGTGGTCATGTGGCAGCTTCTTTGATGGGTCAGGCCAGCCCACGGCAACAACCTCAGATAAGCGCCTGCATAGATAGTCTGCCTGTGTCTCCTTTCTCAGTTCCTCAATTCTCCTTGAGGAGAGGGCTTCCACTTTCATGACATCATAGTCCTCAGTAGTTTCGGCCCAGTCAGGGGAGGGCAGGTGTGCACATAAGAGCGTGTGTGCTAGGCATAGCTCTTTGACCTGGTCAGTTTGAAGGTGACCCACATATGACACCTCAGACACCCGGAAACGGCACTTGTCAGGGTTGAGCTTAAGATTTACAGCGCATATTTTGTCCATGACCTGCCGGAGGTGCAGATCATGCTTTTCTCTTGTGCTGCTCCAAACGAGGATGTCGTCAACAACAATTGCGCATGACTGTCCTTCAAAGAGCTGCTCCATACACCTTTGGAAGACTTCACTTCTCGTGGAAATTCCATAAGGCATTCGGAGGAAGGCATATCAGCCCGCCGGGGTCATGAAGGTGGTCAGCTTTGATGACTCCTCACTGAGTGGCACCTGCCAGAATCCACACTTCACATCAAGGATACTGAACACCTTGGCTACAACGAACCAGAAGTCACATGAAACAATCCAGTCGTACGTTGCCACGTTAACAACACTAGCCAGAAAATGCGAATTTGGCATGCTGCACGACGAACTGATAAGAGATCGATTAGTATGTGGCATTCACAATGACTATATCCACACACAGCTGATAACTTTAAACTCAGCTATCGAAATATGCATGCTACATGAGCAGTCTGAAAAAGGAAACAAAGAAATAAAAAAAGAAACAGGTACCAAAGAACTAAAGAAGGAAAGCGAAGCTTGTGCCGTGCAATATTCTACAAGCCATTTTAAAAGCTTTATATATTCTATTTATATGCATGTATTTATATTAATATAAATAAGTTAATAAGCTAAATAAGTTGAATATTAATAGTCAAAATAATCGTTTAATGCATAAGGGCTATCTGTCACTCCACTTTACTTGGAGTTAATTGTTCCAGTTTGCAATCTTTTACCCAGAATAAAACCACATTTTAATGAGCAAAAGCTGATCTGAAATTTAAAAATGTACTAAGAACAGATTTTGTGCAGCGCATGTCACGCGCTCTCACTCATGTTGTCGTGCTGCTTCTGTTCACAGCAGCGGACACTGCAGCTGTGCTTCTGCATGTTTGGGACTCCTGAGGCAGTTTCGTAAATCGTCGATGTAGAAACGTTGGAATTCTCGTTTATTGCTGGATGGAGCGGTATTGTTATTTTTTATTAAGCATGATGATCAAGGAGGTGAATGGTTGATCCATGGAATATAAAAAGAGGCAATAATTCAACTATCAGCTTTATATGCCCAAGGAAAACAACCTGACAGAAATGGTAAGAAAATTGAATTTTTTTGTATTATTTAACTAAATGTTCTGTATGGTATATATTCTGCTTTATTGATTTGAATTTAAATCTATATTTATTCACACCGGCTCTTGAAAACCTCTATGCGAACACACTTGCCCGAAAAAGTGCGGGGGACGAATTTATGTGATATTAAAAGTGGGGGGGGACACATCCCCTGCGTCTCCCGCGTAATCTATGCCCCTGGGCTACACCGATCATCCTCACTGTACAATGCGTAATTCAAAATACGGAGAAAATACCTCTCAAAAATCAATAAGGAAAAAAATCCTTCATATTAACACAGTACATTGGACCTAGTCCGGACCTATTTAGAGTGTGGCTTAATCTCGCCTTATTCTGGGTCCGAATAAAACATCAGATCATGCACAGACTATCCTGTCTCTTTCAATTTAAATCTATATTTATTCACACCGGCTCTTGAAAACCTCTATGTGAACACACTTGCCCGAAAAAGTGCGGGGGACGAATTTATGTGATATTAAAAGTGGGGGGGACACATCCCCTGCGTCTCCCGCGTAATCTATGCCCCTGGGCTACACCGATCATCCTCACTGTACAATGCCTAATTCAAAATACGGAGAAAATACCTCTCAAAAATCAATAAGGAAAAAAATCCTTCATATTAACACAGTACATTGGACCTAGTCCGGACCTATTTAGAGTGTGGTTTACAAAAGTTTACATCCCCTTGGCTTTTAATAGTTGTGTACGAGTCCCTCATTTGTCCTTATATAAAAATAAAATAGTCTACCTGATATTATGACAAATTTGTGAAAAATGCCCGAATATGAAATTGCCAATTGAAGAAAAAAATATTCTAATTTAAGAAGTTTTTGAGTTAAATGTTTGAAACCAACACACAAAACCACTTGTAGAGAAATGTATACGCATTGTGTATCAGAACTTTTGACTTACAACAGTGACAACTAGCCTTGGTCTTATGTATTATTATTGCAAATGTTAATTCAATCTTCAGTGTTAGCTACAAAACATGTCAAATGGCTAAATGCGTTTAACTCTAATGTCCAGTATGGATTCATCAACACATGTCTGAAGTCTCTAGTGATTGACAGATTTGGAGAAGAGACATGGGACAAACTCAGGTGAGCATCCATAACACTGAATCACTTGATTATTTTACACACAGATTGTGTTAATGTCTGTGAAAATGCCTTATAAAATGATGTGGAGAAAAATACTGATTTTGTTGGGATTTCTGCAGGGATGCAGCAAGGGTTCAAGACACTTTCATGACTTATGAAGTGTACACAGATAACATCACCATGCAGTTAGTGTCAGAGGCCTGCAAGATGCTCGGTAAAGCACTTTCACTTCTTAAGATTTGGTTTGATTTTCAGAGCAGCCAGTATTTATTAAAAGTGCATTGGTTGTTCTTCATTGTAGTTAATGCACATTTTCTTTGTTGATCCAAAGACCTTGAGCAAAGTGTGGTGCTGGGGCAGTTTGGAGAATATTTTTTCGAGTTCTGCAAAAGGGCTGGATATGATCATATGCTGCGCACTCTTGGAGGAAATCTGTTTGAGTTTATGGAGAATCTGGACGCGCTGCACAGCTTTCTCTCTCTTTCCTACAAGGTCGAGTGAGCAGGACATTAATATTCTCATAAACATCTTGAGGAGAATTTCGATCAAAGACTGTTTCATAATTTATTTGTTAATCCTGAATGAATAGTACACTTTTGATGTGCGAAATAAGACCTTTTATTCTCATTCAATAATGCTTTTTCTTTATTCGTTCAATCAATCATTCATTCATTGATTCATGCATTCAGAATCAGTTATAAATATTTATTCTTGTGAGAAGAACTAGGCTACAAAACCTCTAGAGTGATCTCTCGTATGCACAGACAAAATGTGCAAAATTCATATAGTAAATCTCTGTCTTCATTTTATTTTAGGAAATGAATGCACCATCATTCCGTGTAGAAAAAAACAATGACGGCTCCTTGCTGTTACACTACTACTCAGACCGACGAGGTCTTTGTCATATCGTCCCAGGTAAACAAATACTGATCTATCTATCTATGTGGATACACTGTAAAAAATGACCGTGAATTTAACAGTAAAAGACTGTAAAAATGCTACAGTAAAAACCTGTTAAATGGTTAACGGTAAATTCCCCTACTATATACGGTGAAAAACTGTATTGGACATTACATGCATTGGACATTAATTTTACGGTAGTATACCGTTTTTGGAAGTGAAAAAGACCGCATAATTTACAGTGAATAACCGTAAATTGACATTCCCAGAATTCACTGCGTTACATTTCAAATGTGATGTTTTTTTGTTAAAATAACTGTTTCTTCTCAGTTTTTTCTTATCAGATTTGTATATTAGGGTTGTGTGTTACACCTAATGTTGCTAAATGAATGTTTATTGCATTATTTCAGTTTCATGTGTTACCATGATGGTGTTTAGCGTTTGTGTGAATGAAACTGTGCACCTTCTATATATGTTATTATTTAAAAGCTGCTTGTGATGGGCTTTGGTTCATCGTGTGACTTTCTCATCACCTCCTGCTTTTGGTGGTTATCAGTGTATCACAAAGCTACAAAACAGATTTCAGTACTTCAATAGGTTGATATATTAACATTATATCAGTTAATGAAATTACGGTATTTAACTGTAAATTTAAGTTAAAACCGTAAAACCTAAAACGTTGCTACCGTATTTTTTACAGTAAAATTCCAGCAACCACAGCTGCCGGTTTTTTACCGTAAATTTTACGGATTTTTTTTTACAGTGTAGCCATACTAAATAATTAGAAAGTAATCAGATTTTCTAGTTGATTGAGTTCTAATGCTGTAGGTATCATCGGAGCTGTAGCCAGAGACTTCTTCAACAGCAAGATAAAGATGGAAATTGTGAACCAGAGAGAGGAAGTCGAGAGGATGGGAACAAAGGAGCATATTGTTTTCCTCATCACCCAGAGCCCAGTGCCTTTAGACAAAGTATGCACTGAAAATGTGTGTGTTTTTAAGTGTACGTTTAAGTATCATCATGCTTTAATGATTTCACAGTTATATACAACTTAGTGTTTTGTTTGGGTTTATGCAGTCTAGTGAAAAATACACCTATACTGTTTTCTTTCCAGGACTTTTCTGAAAGGTCCATGCAGAAGACGTCTCTAAATCATGTACAGAAAAACCACTGGGGCACAGTCAGAAACTTTGTACATCCAGAAAAGGGTAAAGATGGAATACAATTCTTAGGTTTATGAGATACGACAAATGTATTATTTTGAATTCTACAGTTAAATATAACTCTTAGCCGAGCATCCTTTTTAATCAGTAAAGCTAAATGATTTTTTGATCAAGGAACTGATTTTCTGATGAGGTCTGACTCGTTATCAGCAACATTCATACATTTGAGATGGATTTTTAGAGTAAACGTAGTTTGAAATGTTGTATTTCTTGGTGTTTGTATTGTGGATTAATTAGATTTTTCTTTCCACCTCAGGTACAACTCCAAGGGCATTTGAGCCTGCGTATCCAGATAACCTGTGCATCGATCTGAAGACATTTTGCAATGCCTTCCCTTTCCACATAGTGTTTGATGAAGAAGTAAGGGGCGCTTGAGGACATTGTTTCTTCAAACGAAGTATTAGAAATCATTACATTCATTGCATATTTAAAAATGGCAAGTTGCCAGTTGTGACAGACATGTTGAGGCTGTTATCTGCTATCTGCTTACAGATAGTTTGAAATAATTGTATTTAACCTTTTCTGCATTGCTGAGTGCTGAATATTTTGAGCATTGTTACATCATCGCTCTTTTCTTCTTTTACTCATTCAGCTCCTAGTCAGACAGGCAGGGGTGACTATTCAGAGAATCGTGCCAGGGTTACAGAGCTTCTGCGGCCAGCTGCATCAATATTTCACCATCCAGCATCCACAGGTGACTTTCAACATCTGCAGCATCCGCAAGTTCATTAATAGCCATTTTGTTTTGCGGACACGAAGAGACAGAATGCCTATGGCTTGGAAAGAGCGACCCATGCTAGAGCTGAGAGGTGAGACTTCTAGAAAAGATTGACTTAATGCTTGTATTTATTGATCATGTATATTATGTAAGACTTTTATTACTCTTAATTCTGTATTTCACCATTTCAGCCATTTATACCTGATTATTACTGCTGTTCTGTCTAATATTCTGTTTTCCCCCTGTGTCTGTAATATGAGCAATATGTGTATTAATTGAAAGGATAGTGGTGTGGGGAATACTGTATGTGGCTTTACAAATCCTAGAGCATCTAGAACAGTGGTTCTCCAGCACTGTACATTGTAAATATCTTCAGGTCTTGGAATCTCTAACATGTGTGTTTGATTAGGGAGACGTACAGAATGTGCACAGCTGGGGGAGCTCCAGGAACAGATTTAACAACCAATGCCTTAGAAGAATGCATTCTGAACCATCAGCTTCCTGAATAATAGCGTAGATGCCTTTTAGGCCAACCCCACATATTACACAGTCTGTATACTTGATTATTTTATTTTATATTTATTTTCCAGATTTATGTATTATAGACTTTGACAGTCATTTATTAACTACATTTAGAAGGATTTTTTTTGCATTCATTAATTCTCAGTGCCGTGCACAGTGCAGGCCTCTCATAATTATTAAAAAAATAGAGTTAATACTGTTAAACATTAATTATGCTAATTAACACTATACACATAGGTTTGTTGCTAACCAAATGAATCAGTATCAACAAAATCCATCTTATCATTTATAAAAATACATTTACACTGAGATTAATATTTTATGAGATTACTGTTTTAAATATAACATTTTGAACAGAAATATGAAATGTTAGAAAATTTTAAATTATACTATTATATATGAAACTAGAACAGCCAGTAGGTGGCGTCAAGTCTCATACGTAAATACATTTCATACCAGAATAAGTAAATTATAGAATCATTGATTCAATCGATTTGTTCAAACCGGCTGATTCATTCATGAATGAAGCAGGTGGTCTTTATGAAAGGCCAGTTGAATCACTGACTCACCCGATTCATTCAAAAACACTGATTCATTCAAGAACGAAAGACTGCAACTTCTGCTTTGTTTGTAACCATTTTCGAGCAAAAACTGTCAAAATTGAGACTGTCTAAAAATGGTCAGTTTATATCATTCATTTGCATCATATTGAAATTGATATTGCTTAACTATATTATGTAACTATTAGGGCTGCACAATTAATCAAATTTCTAATCGCGATTACAATTATGGATGCCACAATTACGTAATCGTTCAAAGCGGCAATTAATCGTTCAAAGTCCACTTATGTTATTCTGTGTGCTTAAGATGCTTTTTTTCTTTCTACATGTTATCTTAAGGGTTTTTCCATTGTTTTAATTTTAGTTTTAGTATAACACTATAATACCATTTATATTTTAACTTTTTTTATAATTTAAAGAAGAAACCAATCCGATGTATAGTTGACATTTGAGGCTTAATACTATAGAAATGCACTAAAAGTTTTTCAGTTAGAGTGTTTTCTGCTTGTTCATTTTCATAAAAAAATACGGCATGGTATGAACATCATTCAATGTAAATTGTGATAATCGTAATTAATAATCGCAATTACAATTTCAAGGGAATAATCGACAATTATGATTTTTGTCATAATCGTGCAGCCCTAGTAACTATATTAGCAATGTAAAAAACAATAACTCATAGAAGGGCAATCCACATCATGAATTTTTATCAGTTTTGCTGGCATGTCCGACCTTCATGTCAACGCCAGACTAGCATGTGGTTAAGCTTAATGGAGGGCTATTGCCAATTGCCGATTTACGTCTTGATTGTGGTTGCTGTGACATGAGACTTTGAAGAGAGGTAGGGGCTTGTAAGCTCTCACAGAATTTGAACTTAAATGCAGTTGTAGGGCACATACTTAACTGAGAATTAATGCCACACTGGCCGAATTTGAATAAAAACTAAAATATAGAATAAAAAATGTCTTGCAAAAGGGATCTATCTGTGTTCGCACCTGTTAATTCTAATTGTCAATCTCATCTTTTTATCTCATTGTGTCCACCTCACACATTTTTGTACCTTTAGGGAATATCAAATGAGCCTCTGTAATTCTTATCTGTAACTTCAGACTGCAGCTACACCCATATTTAACATTCTCAGCATCCCTCTTTGTATTCGCCTCTATACCTCTCTCCTTGTCTGTTTCTTACTTCCTTCTCACAGGACAAATGTTATGGATGCCTCCGTTGCATTGCATGCTGTACCTAGCTTCACCATTACTTCGCAGCTTGCAGGAGCTGGAGGAGCACTGCATGCACCTCTCTGATATTGCTCCACATGACGCTACACGTGACCTGATCCTGCTCAACCAGCAGCGACTGGCAGAGATGGAGCTCTCCAACCAGCTAGAACGGAAAAAGGAAGAGCTGCATCAACTCTCAAAACACCTTGAGGAGGAAAAGCAGAAGACGGAGAATCTACTCTATGCCATGCTGCCCAAACATGTTGCCAACCAGCTAAAAGAGGGCAAGAGAGTGGAGGCAGGTGAATCAAACAGAAGGGTGGATGGTTAGGAGAGCAGACAATGCAAGTATGGTTTCTGTGAGACAATAGATGTGCGCCTTGTAGTGTAAAGCTGGGGTTCTCAACTCTGGCCCTCGAGGTCCATTTTCCTGCAGAGTTTAGCTCCAACTTTAATCAAACACTCCTGAACAAACGAATCAAGATCTTCAGGATCACTAGAAAGTTACAGGCAGGTGAGTTTGATCAAGTTAGGAGCTAAACTCTACAGGAAAGTAGACCTTGAGGGCCAGAGTTGAGAACCCCTGGTGTAAAGCTAGGCAGTCATTCCAATGCCGAAAGTATACTTCGGCCATTCACATTCTGCTACGCTAGACACAGATGGAGCAGAAATCAGAAAATTATGTCCTTATTTGATTCTCAATATTTCAACTTTAATTTCCATCCAGTAATTACACAAGCACCTTTCAGGTTGCCCAGAAAGTATCCCTGCAAAGAGATTCAACAGCTGTGTCTGAAGCGCAATTGGAGATGAAAGAGAGGGGAACATGACCAGGAAAGGATCTTAAACTGTGATTCAACATGTCTTTAGCATTTTCACCAAACTTAAAATGGGTTCAGCTATCGACATTGGCTGGTCCAGAAAATGGACAGATTGACAAAATTAACTGAATGGACTGCTGTAGGCCAGTGATGGAATTCTTGTTCATCGAGATGGAAAACAACAAACAATATATTGACTTGTTTACATTTTTTCTGAATTGAAAAACAACCAAATCAAAACAATATAATTAAACATAATTAACTAACACACCCTAGGACAGGGCCGAGAGCTGTGGGAGTGTTGACAGTGAAGGATGAGAGAGGACAAGGCCTGGGACTTTTTAGTTGTAGTTTTGTTTGTTTATGCAGGTAGTCTGTGAGGGGCTGCCGCTTACTTTTGTTTTGTTATTAAAGTTTTATGTTTAGTTAACTATTTCCCATGAAATCCTATTAGACAGACTGCGGTCCATTGGAATTGTAGGTACTTCTCTGGCTTGATTCGCATCTTATCTCTCGGGTCATACTCAGCTTGTTCAACTAGGCCAGTTTAAATCTAATTCATCACGTGTTACTACAGGTGTCCCACAGGGTTCAGTTCTGGGCCCTTTATTATTTAACATTTATTTACTGCCACTTGGAAACATTTTCAGTGAGGATGGTATTCATTTTCACTGCTACGCCGATGACACCCAGTCTTCAAAACCTACTTCTAAACTTCCTTCATCCTCTCTTTCTAACTGTTTGTCTGAAGTTAAAGCTTGGTTTTCAAGTAATTTTCTTAAACTTAACAGTAATAAAACAAAAATAGTTCTAAAAAGTAATTTGTCAAAGACCAGTACTTTCTCTATGTGTATCGATGGTTCTACAATTGCTCCTTCAATGCAGATTAAGAGCTTGGGTGTTATTCTTAACAATACTCTATATTTTGAAGCACATATTAACAAGGTTACTCGGATAGCTCATTATCACATACGTAACATTAACCGCCTCCACCCAGCCCTCTCAACGAGGAGCACTGCCATTATGGTTCATGCTCTCGTCACTTCACGTATTGACTACTGTAATGCTCTTTTTTATGGTCTTCCTGTTAAACTTTTACACAAGTTACGAATAGTTACTAGAACTCCTACTATGGAACACATATCTGCTGTTCTCCAATTGCACTGGCTTCCTGTTAAACAGCGTATATAATTCAAAATGTTGCTTTTTGTTTATAAGGCATTATAACCTAGCTGTAGGCCAGTGATGGAATTCTTGTTCATCGAGATGGAAAACAACAAACAATATATTGACTTGTTTAAATTTTTTTTCTGAATTGAAAAACAACCAAATCAAAACAATATAATTAAACATAATTAACTAACACACCCTAGGACAGGGCCGAGAGCTGTGGGAGTGTTGACAGTGAAGGATGAGAGAGGACAAGGCCTGGGACTTTTTAGTTGTAGTTTTGTTTGTTTATGCAGGTAGTCTGTGAGGGGCTGCCGCTTACTTTTGTTTTGTTATTAAAGTTTTATGTTTAGTTAACTATTTCCCATGAAATCCTATTAGACAGACTGCGGTCCATTGGAATTGTAGGTACTTCTCTGGCTTGATTCGCATCTTATCTCTCGGGTCATACTCAGCTTGTTCAACTAGGCCAGTTTAAATCTAATTCATCACGTGTTACTACAGGTGTCCCACAGGGTTCAGTTCTGGGCCCTTTATTATTTAACATTTATTTACTGCCACTTGGAAACATTTTCAGTGAGGATGGTATTCATTTTCACTGCTACGCCGATGACACCCAGTCTTCAAAACCTACTTCTAAACTTCCTTCATCCTCTCTTTCTAACTGTTTGTCTGAAGTTAAAGCTTGGTTTTCAAGTAATTTTCTTAAACTTAACAGTAATAAAACAAAAATAGTTCTAAAAAGTAATTTGTCAAAGACCAGTACTTTCTCTATGTGTATCGATGGTTCTACAATTGCTCCTTCAATGCAGATTAAGAGCTTGGGTGTTATTCTTAACAATACTCTATATTTTGAAGCACATATTAACAAGGTTACTCGGATAGCTCATTATCACATACGTAACATTAACCGCCTCCACCCAGCCCTCTCAACGAGGAGCACTGCCATTATGGTTCATGCTCTCGTCACTTCACGTATTGACTACTGTAATGCTCTTTTTTATGGTCTTCCTGTTAAACTTTTACACAAGTTACGAATAGTTACTAGAACTCCTACTATGGAACACATATCTGCTGTTCTCCAATTGCACTGGCTTCCTGTTAAACAGCGTATATAATTCAAAATGTTGCTTTTTGTTTATAAGGCATTATAACCTAGCTCCTTCTTACTTATCTGACCTACTTTTAACATATACTCCCTCTCGAACTCTCAGATCATCGTCTACATTCTCTTTAGTACTTCCTCGTACACGTTTGTTTTCTATGGGATCTTGAGCTTTTAGCTATGCTGCTCCTCATCTGTGGAATTCACTTCCACAATACATTCGTAATAGTGACTCTCTTCCTATTTTCAAATCATCTTTTTAGGCAGCCATACTGGTAATATTTTTTTAATGTATTTTCTAATTCGTTGTAAAGCTATGAATGTGGGCTTTGAATTGCATTGTTGCTTGTTAACTCTTTTATGTTTTATTTGCATGTGTCCTTTAGTGTCACATAAGGCGCCCATAAATAAAATGTATTATTATTATTATTATTATTATTAAATGTCTGCCGGGTACCGCCTCCTCCTTCTCTTAACTGTGAACTGCGTTACAATCCAATCATCCAAACATGTGATGTCTTGGGCCATGCTGTGCTCTGTGAGAGGACTCTTCATTTCATTTCATTTCAGATGACAAGGTTTGATATTAGTGCACTTCGTCGCTGTCTCTAGCTCGTAACAGACGGATGGTTGGAGAGGGTTAAAGATGTTCTGCCCAAAATATCAAACTGACGTCAACAGAGAAGAAACACCAGCAAATTTTCAGATTTTGCTTAAAGATTATGAAGACAAAGCATTTTTTGTTTTCTTCTGTGGATTACCTTGCACAAATGATTTGTTCGCCCGAAGGCTAGTAATGTGTGCTAACTAATCAAATGGGGTCAATTTTGATTTCATGCAGACTTTAAAATGTAATAAAATGTCTTAAATTCAGTTTTATAAAATTTGAAGTCTTAAAAATATTAAATGGTATAATGAAAGTACTAATGATCATTTTAAGCAGTCTACATTTGGGGACAGAAAAACAGGAACTGTGACACAGACTATTGTGATTATAAAATTTCAAATGGCTTTGATTTAATTAAATAAATGTGGCACTGCGGCATGTTCTACAGTCCCGCCGTTTCAGGGCAGTTCACGATCACTGAATACCACACATTTATGCAAAGCGATTGCTTATGAACTACTGCTGATGAATTATGATAATGTTTACTTTACGGTGTTTATTTTGTAATATGTTGTAAATAGTTGTAGGAGTACATATTTTATCTCTCTAGTCTTTTTTAAAGAGCAGGTGGAAACAGTAAGACAGGCATTTCAAAATAAGTCTATATAATTATAATTAAAAGTCACACATAATGCATAGTATTTTTTTCTGCTTTTCTTTTAGGTGAGTTTGAAGAGTGCACCATCCTCTTCAGTGATGTGGTGACCTTCACCAACATCTGCTCTGAGTGTGAACCCATCCAGATCGTTTCCATGCTCAATTCCATGTACCTGAAGTTTGATCGTCTTACCACTGTGCACAATGTTTACAAGGTGGGCCTTAGTCTTGAGGATTTTTCTTGTGTAAAATGCAATGCTAATAATTTCGATACGTGTTATAACGTGTGCTGCAGGTTGAGACAATTGGAGATGCTTACATGGTTGTTGGTGGTGTGCCAATCCCGATGTCAAGTCACATAGAGCGTGTGGCCAACTTCGCCCTAGGCATGATCATAGCTGCAAAAGAGGTCACTAACCCTGTGACTGGTGGCCCTATTCAGGTGATTGAGGGTTATCTTTGATTAATACAGGGGTGGCCAAGGTTGGTCCTGTTTTCCCTCAAACTGACATTTCATCCCCAGCTGTTTGGGGGTTTAGAAAAGAGTTTGAATAGATTTTTGAAGTTTTGTGTCCCAGATCCGGGTGGGCTTGCACAGCGGACCGGTCTTGGCAGGGGTGGTTGGTGAGAAGATGCCTCGGTACTGTTTGTTTGGAGACACAGTTAACACGGCCTCCCGAATGGAGAGTCATGGACTGCCTGACAAAATCCACCTTAGTCCCAGTGTTTATCAGTGAGAAGCATGAAAATATGTCCTCTCTCTCAGTTACTTCAATTATTCTCTGTTTGGCACTGTAAAGATACAGTATATATCAACATTAACAGATAATATTGATATATTAACATAGATTGACTTCAGATGAGAATCTTAAATCTTTTGGCTGATTTCTTACCAGTGCTCTAAGAAATAAAGGCTATCAAATGGAGGAGCGTGGAGAGATTGAGATAAAAGGTAAAGGAAGAATGCGCACCTACTTTCTGCAGAGGAACCTAAAAGTCACAGAGAGTCAGATCATGGGACTTCTGGTGCACGACGCCGACTCGGACAAGAAGTTGAATCATTCTACTCGAGACTGTGCATCACAGCTACCTCACTATAGGCCAGCATTAAAAGGTCTGTTGAATGTTTGTTCGTTATTAGGTTACCAGTCATGAGCAATGGCATATGTATTGGTGTCCCACTATACATTCTTAAGCCCAAAGTATACTTTGGTTTTTATGCGAACACCAGATTTCATCACCAGAATAGTAAGTGCGTACTGTACACGCACAACTCAACAACACTTTATTTCGATAGTCCACTTTAGACATTCTATTAACAGCAAGTAACTTTGCAACATGTCAACTAGCAGTTAGTGGAGTATTAGTAGACTATCTGCTTAATATCTTCTAACACTTTCTTTGTCAACTTATTCTACTAACCCTAAACCTACCCTAACAGTCTACTCTGAGAGTTAGTAGACATGTAGTTGCAAATTAATGATAATTAGTTGACATGTAGTTACAAAGTTACTTATAGTTAGTAGAATGTCTAAAGTAGACTATCGAAATAAAGTGTAACCAATTTTTGTAACCACGCGTACTTTATATGCACAAGTCGCACATGCGCTTTGAATTTGTTTTGCACTAATCAGTTGTTCCACAAGGTGGCAACACTGTCCCGGGCCGATGTTTCACAGTAGAAAATGAGCTTGTGTGAGAGGGTTATGAGATAGCAGCAACTTTAGTTTAAAAGAATACAAAGATAATTTTATCAGTCTAAAAAAGATACAAAGATAATTTTATCAGATAATTTTACCTCTGGACAAAAATAGCATAGACACTGGACAAAGACTAAACTTTCTTGTGCACATGTGTTAGCGCACACTATCAAATGTAGTATATTTTGAAAGGCTATGCATTTGACCTTGGGCTTTAATACTTTGGTTTTTAATCCCATTGTTTATTGGGAGAATTTTTGTTAGATAAAACATTGTATTAAATGTATTTGATTACTTATATATCATGTCTATTTATAATTGCTTTTTTTTTTTTTTGCATAAACATTAACTAGTTTGAATCACATCACTGTACATCAGGGTTTTAACCTGCATTCAAGATTCAGCATCAGGGTTGCAAAAACTGCAAAGTTAAAAGAAGAGAAAGAAAATTCATTTACTCACCCTCAAATTGATCCAAACCTGTATGAATTTCTTTTGTCTGCTGAACACAAAAGATGATATTTTGAAAAATGCTGGCAAACAAATAATTGCTGGTCCCCACTGACTTCCACAGTATGGAGAAGAAAAAATACAAAAATACAAAAGAAGTCAGTGGGGTCTTGCAACTGTTTTCTTACCTACATTCTTCAAAATATATTTTCATTTTAATTTGTTGGTGAATTGTCCCTTTAATATAAAATAAACATAAAACAACACATATAATATTTAGTTTAACAATTGTTTATGCAGGTAGTCTGTGAGGGGCTGCCGCTTACTTTTGTTTTGTTATTAAAGTTTTATGTTTAGTTAACTATTTCCCATGAAATCCTATTAGACAGACTGCGGTCCATTGGAATTGTAGGTACTTCTCTGGCTTGATTCGCATCTTATCTCTCGGGTCATACTCAGCTTGTTCAACTAGGCCAGTTTAAATCTAATTCATCACGTGTTACTACAGGTGTCCCACAGGGTTCAGTTCTGGGCCCTTTATTATTTAACATTTATTTACTGCCACTTGGAAACATTTTCAGTGAGGATGGTATTCATTTTCACTGCTACGCCGATGACACCCAGTCTTCAAAACCTACTTCTAAACTTCCTTCATCCTCTCTTTCTAACTGTTTGTCTGAAGTTAAAGCTTGGTTTTCAAGTAATTTTCTTAAACTTAACAGTAATAAAACAAAAATAGTTCTAAAAAGTAATTTGTCAAAGACCAGTACTTTCTCTATGTGTATCGATGGTTCTACAATTGCTCCTTCAATGCAGATTAAGAGCTTGGGTGTTATTCTTAACAATACTCTATATTTTGAAGCACATATTAACAAGGTTACTCGGATAGCTCATTATCACATACGTAACATTAACCGCCTCCACCCAGCCCTCTCAACGAGGAGCACTGCCATTATGGTTCATGCTCTCGTCACTTCACGTATTGACTACTGTAATGCTCTTTTTTATGGTCTTCCTGTTAAACTTTTACACAAGTTACGAATAGTTACTAGAACTCCTACTATGGAACACATATCTGCTGTTCTCCAATTGCACTGGCTTCCTGTTAAACAGCGTATATAATTCAAAATGTTGCTTTTTGTTTATAAGGCATTATAACCTAGCTCCTTCTTACTTATCTGACCTACTTTTAACATATACTCCCTCTCGAACTCTCAGATCATCGTCTACATTCTCTTTAGTACTTCCTCGTACACGTTTGTTTTCTATGGGATCTTGAGCTTTTAGCTATGCTGCTCCTCATCTGTGGAATTCACTTCCACAATACATTCGTAATAGTGACTCTCTTCCTATTTTCAAATCATCTTTTTAGGCAGCCATACTGGTAATATTTTTTTTATGTATTTTCTAATTCGTTGTAAAGCCATGAATGTGGGCTTTGAATTGCATTGTTGCTTGTTAACTCTTTTATGTTTTATTTGCATGTGTCCTTTAGTGTCACATAAGGCGCCCATAAATAAAATGTATTATTATTATTATTATTATTATTAAATGTCTGCCGGGTACCGCCTCCTCCTTCTCTTAACTGTGAACTGCGTTACAATCCAATCATCCAAACATGTGATGTCTTGGGCCATGCTGTGCTCTGTGAGAGGACTCTTCATTTCATTTCATTTCAGATGACAAGGTTTGATATTAGTGCACTTCGTCGCTGTCTCTAGCTCGTAACAGACGGATGGTTGGAGAGGGTTAAAGATGTTCTGCCCAAAATATCAAACTGACGTCAACAGAGAAGAAACACCAGCAAATTTTCAGATTTTGCTTAAAGATTATGAAGACAAAGCATTTTTTGTTTTCTTCTGTGGATTACCTTGCACAAATGATTTGTTCGCCCGAAGGCTAGTAATGTGTGCTAACTAATCAAATGGGGTCAATTTTGATTTCATGCAGACTTTAAAATGTAATAAAATGTCTTAAATTCAGTTTTATAAAATTTGAAGTCTTAAAAATATTAAATGGTATAATGAAAGTACTAATGATCATTTTAAGCAGTCTACATTTGGGGACAGAAAAACAGGAACTGTGACACAGACTATTGTGATTATAAAATTTCAAATGGCTTTGATTTAATTAAATAAATGTGGCACTGCGGCATGTTCTACAGTCCCGCCGTTTCAGGGCAGTTCACGATCACTGAATACCACACATTTATGCAAAGCGATTGCTTATGAACTACTGCTGATGAATTATGATAATGTTTACTTTACGGTGTTTATTTTGTAATATGTTGTAAATAGTTGTAGGAGTACATATTTTATCTCTCTAGTCTTTTTTAAAGAGCAGGTGGAAACAGTAAGACAGGCATTTCAAAATAAGTCTATATAATTATAATTAAAAGTCACACATAATGCATAGTATTTTTTTCTGCTTTTCTTTTAGGTGAGTTTGAAGAGTGCACCATCCTCTTCAGTGATGTGGTGACCTTCACCAACATCTGCTCTGAGTGTGAACCCATCCAGATCGTTTCCATGCTCAATTCCATGTACCTGAAGTTTGATCGTCTTACCACTGTGCACAATGTTTACAAGGTGGGCCTTAGTCTTGAGGATTTTTCTTGTGTAAAATGCAATGCTAATAATTTCGATACGTGTTATAACGTGTGCTGCAGGTTGAGACAATTGGAGATGCTTACATGGTTGTTGGTGGTGTGCCAATCCCGATGTCAAGTCACATAGAGCGTGTGGCCAACTTCGCCCTAGGCATGATCATAGCTGCAAAAGAGGTCACTAACCCTGTGACTGGTGGCCCTATTCAGGTGATTGAGGGTTATCTTTGATTAATACAGGGGTGGCCAAGGTTGGTCCTGTTTTCCCTCAAACTGACATTTCATCCCCAGCTGTTTGGGGGTTTAGAAAAGAGTTTGAATAGATTTTTGGAGTTTTGTGTCCCAGATCCGGGTGGGCTTGCACAGCGGACCGGTCTTGGCAGGGGTGGTTGGTGAGAAGATGCCTCGGTACTGTTTGTTTGGAGACACAGTTAACACGGCCTCCCGAATGGAGAGTCATGGACTGCCTGACAAAATCCACCTTAGTCCCAGTGTTTATCAGTGAGAAGCATGAAAATATGTCCTCTCTCTCAGTTACTTCAATTATTCTCTGTTTGGCACTGTAAAGATACAGTATATATCAACATTAACAGATAATATTGATATATTAACATAGATTGACTTCAGATGAGAATCTTAAATCTTTTGGCTGATTTCTTACCAGTGCTCTAAGAAATAAAGGCTATCAAATGGAGGAGCGTGGAGAGATTGAGATAAAAGGTAAAGGAAGAATGCGCACCTACTTTCTGCAGAGGAACCTAAAAGTCACAGAGAGTCAGATCATGGGACTTCTGGTGCACGACGCCGACTCGGACAAGAAGTTGAATCATTCTACTCGAGACTGTGCATCACAGCTACCTCACTATAGGCCAGCATTAAAAGGTCTGTTGAATGTTTGTTCGTTATTAGGTTACCAGTCATGAGCAATGGCATATGTATTGGTGTCCCACTATACATTCTTAAGCCCAAAGTATACTTTGGTTTTTATGCGAACACCAGATTTCATCACCAGAATAGTAAGTGCGTACTGTACACGCACAACTCAACAACACTTTATTTCGATAGTCCACTTTAGACATTCTATTAACAGCAAGTAACTTTGCAACATGTCAACTAGCAGTTAGTGGAGTATTAGTAGACTATCTGCTTAATATCTTCTAACACTTTCTTTGTCAACTTATTCTACTAACCCTAAACCTACCCTAACAGTCTACTCTGAGAGTTAGTAGACATGTAGTTGCAAATTAATGATAATTAGTTGACATGTAGTTGACATGTAGTTACAAAGTTACTTATAGTTAGTAGAATGTCTAAAGTGGACTATCGAAATAAAGTGTAACCAATTTTTGTAACCACGCGTACTTTATATGCACAAGTCGCACATGCGCTTTGAATTTGTT